CTTCTGATAGTGTCCGTGGATAAGTTCACTTTGCTAATTTWCTATTGATGACAGTAATTAGAATATCTATTATAAAGTAGTAATCCACTTGCAAAACAAAGTGAACAATCAAAACCAAGCAATCAAACAGAAAACAACCGTGAAAAGATATCACGCTAATACATCTTGTATACTCCAATTGCAGTCTTTCCTTCGGTGTCCATCTGACTWTCACATTTTAGTATAATTTCATAAGTGAATATCATAATTCTAGCGCGCTGATTGGTCGAATTTGACGCTTCAATGAGCGATGTTCACCTATAGGTGAATATTGGATTTTTTCGCAAAATGGCGTCGTCCGCGAGTCAGTTGGATTAAACAATTGGATTAAAAAAAATTGGATTAAAAWTTTTTACAGGTAAATTTTGTAAGTTTTTTTTGTGTCCATAAGGAAGAAAGATGGCAATTATTACAAGAAGACAGACGACTTTGCTGTCAATCCGAGCGGCCCTTGGCCGCCATCTTCAATCCCCGCCACATAACATTTTACGAAAATGCAGTAGTTCTTTTTTCTCTATTTTTATGAATACTCACTTATGAAATTATACTAAAACAATTATTCACCTCAGGCTCAGTGATTATCAATGAATATTTACCTCGCGGCTCGCGGAATCGCCGCTCGGTAAATATTCATTGATAATCACTTCGCCTTCGGCGAATAATTGTTAAATATCATTCAACAACAAAACTTCCTCCTCTCTCACTGAATAGAAACATAGCAGTTGAAAGATGTGATACTTGTTGTCTTAGTTCTTAGTTCAGTCGCCCAGTGAAATGTTAATGGAAGGTATTAACGGAGAATCGTAAACATTTTACCTCYGTCGCTATTTCGTCGTGAAGTTCTCGGAGATCAAATTTTGTAAATAAAGCCCAGATTTTTRTAAGAACAAGATCAGCTTGGAAATCCAGCATTTTAGTGATTTTATGAATTTACCATGAAGGCAATGGAAAAGYAGTGGAATTCATCATCTTCGCAAGCATCATTAGTTTCTTTTCTCAGTTTTAGAATGTCTCCACGAGAAACATAACCAAGCCAGTCATAAACAAATTTATAGGCAAAAGTCACTCCATCTCACTTTGAYATTTTGCTTTTTAAGATCGACTACCGGGTATGAACTTTGCACATCACTGCAGTTATAGCCCTGATCCTAAATACCCTGGTATCTACGAGTGTGCCACAATTGGTGGTGCAATACGGGATTGTCAAAAGCGTGGAAAGAAAGTGTTGATATCTCTTGGCGGYGACACATGCGATGGAACACTTGGTAGCGCAGCAAATGCAAGGTTTCTTGCAAAAAATATCTGGCATATGTTCCTCGGAGGACAAAAAATGCCAAACAAGCGACCATTTCTTCAGTAAGTGGTAATGATAGTGATAAAGTGGAATATTGACAGCTTCACAGTATTATGAAAACCTCTTACTCATAGTGCATGAAATGGAATGTAGGGATGCACAATAACAGCTTACTCCTACTTTAAATACTTCACTGACTTAGAACAATCACTGGAAAAAATCGCGCGCTTTAAAGGTTGTAAATTTGATGTAAATATGATGTCAGTGTCCAAAATTCTGTAAATTTGATGTAAATGATTTCCATTAAATTTACAGAATTTTGGACACTTACATCATATCTACATCAAATTTACAACCTTTAAAGCGCGCGATTTTTTCCAGTGAATGAGTCAGAAATTAAAAAACAACAACGGAAGTGACAACATTAATAAGACCGATATGCACTTATTAATYAATGTGTAATTTGTGTTAACAGTACTGTTCTTGATGGTGTTGATCTCGATATCGAGATAGGAAGCTACAAGTACTACCCTGACTTTGTGAGGGARCTGCGTGGATTGATGAGAACCGACAATAGTAGACAGTACTTGTTAACGGCTGCTCCCCAGTGCCCATATCCTGACAAATGGATGGGTCCTGAGAATCCAGGAACAGCACTAAAAGGTTGGTTTATGTAAGATTCACAAATAATCATGTGGTTATCTTGATGACAGGAAAATATCATACCAAAAAAAGGATAATACGGTAGTACAAATCTACAATTTGAGCATACAAGCTGTTACAGTAAATGCGCACTGTGAGAAAGATCTGTTTTACATTATAAATGCTTCATTTTCCATCTATAGCTATTTCAAAAAAGGTTGTCGGATAAAATGGCGAATGTCAATTGTCGAACGGCGATTGCACGACCGAATGTAGTCATGGGTTTCGTTCTGTGAAATGAAATAACAACTGATTTGTACTGTAAGATGGTCTGTGGTAAACAAGGGCTACATTTAGTCTCGATTACTATGTAAGGTGAATCCAATAAGTGAAATTTTGTTAATCAAAACAATGTAACCATAGTCCCTTTCGGTCGTACAATCTCCATTCGACAATCGCCATTCACCGTTCTCCCTGACAACGTTTTATGAAATAGCTGTATACGTATGCTCATTAAAGTGAACAAAAGCAACATTTTACATTTCTAGTTACACCTTTAATTAGACMTTGTTAAACATAACTATATGTAATTTTTTTTCTACAGAGGTTGGCCATGAATTTGACTACCTATTCATTCAGTTCTACAATAACTACTGCTATCCGGGAAGTTCATATTATGTATCTGTGATGGAAACATGGTTGAGGTGGACCAACAGTATCAAMAATGGGCCTTTGATTTTACTTGGATTGCCTTCCGGCGTGGGAGCTGCTGGCAAACCTGAATATTATTTCCCTCCTGATCAGCTAGCTGTTGCATTCAAGGTGATTACTGACTAGCTCCTGTTCATGTATTGGTGTCACTAGTATTATTTCAGAAGTCTACCTAATTTTTGGAAAGCAAATGRCAGCATTAAATTAGCCGCATTGTCATTAATATTTTAGCAAATGTAAGTAAGCCATTTTAATGTATTTGGGAGCTTATATAGCATGYAATGTTTATTCAAACTAGAAGCAAATTCAATCTGTATGAAACATTTTCGGCAGTTAATTATATAAACTGCATGGTATTTGAAGCTTCTCCCTTTCTTTAATTTGGAGCTGACAATTTCGCTTGTTTCTTAATTCTGACATTTTAGACGCATTCATTGTTCTCTGCATACAGTCGCAATAATACTCAATCACCCGCGGCATTCAGCGGCCTGGGAGCATATGKGCAATTTGTCTGCGCATGCGTTTGTCACGAAAGCATCTTCGAGAATGGGCGCCATTTTCTTTGGAACATGTTCTTTTTCGGGTTTTTGCTAGACTAGATCGCAAGGTTTAACACTTTGAATTGTAATAATTTCAATTAGAACCGAGAGTATACACGAGTGACTACACTKGCTATTCTTGATGTATTCCTAGGCTTTATATTTCGGTAGATATTTTCCTTGAAATGATCTGAAAATAACGAAATTCATTCGCTTTTGTAAAGCACTATCAATATGCGCCAGAATTTTAAATGCTCGGAACAAATTTGAGGTTACTGGTAAAAGTTCAGAATGAATATTTTAATAAAGCGTGTCACTTAAAAGCTTGCAATTTGCTTAGGTATGAAAAAATTAATAACCACAAAATACAAGCAAAYCTTTGGCTTTGAGTATTGCAAAAGCTTCACTAGWCGATATTATATTTGATGGGAGTGCCCATGTTAAATCTTGGAGTCATCCGTCCTAACTAACTAACTAATATTTGATTGTGTGAATCATATACAGAAAATCCGCGATAAACCCGGAGTAGGTGGAATCATGTTTTGGGAGTGTTCCTGGGACCAAAATAACATCATCAATGGGAAACASTACAGCGAGTATGCATTCCAACTTRTCAGCGGTGGTTCAATAACTCCCCCAACACAATCACCTACCACCAAGCCTCCTCAAACACAAGCACCAATAACAACTCCTCCTCCTACTCAAGCACCAGYAACAACCCAAGCTCCTCTGCCAACGACTTCTTCCCCATCTGGTAATTATCGTATTTCTCTAGAAATCAGAATAAAGAATAACACATTTCAGTTACGACGTTTCGAAGTCTTCTTGACTTCATTTTCAAGTATTTTAATAAGATTYAAATTCTSTACTTAYATKTCGTACAACAACAATAGCAAGAAAAACAATATGTCAAATAGGTGTTGGACACAACTACACAAACACCTTGGCGCGTATCGAGTCTGATTGTACGTTCAACCTCGGTTCTTTGTTCCGAATATAAAGCATCACGTAGATTGTTAGATGTTACATGGAAACTGTACATGGACTGGTTAAACCCGCTATCGATAAATCGTTCACGATACTTAAGCGCTGTAAGAACAAATTTAATACTCCAGTTTCGAATTCTCCAATGCTCTGTGTTAGCCTCATTTGTGTGYAAAATATTTCTTATTRTGAGCGTAAAAGTGTGAGATTTCAAATCAAATTTATTGTCTTTCTTCACAAATTCCATGCKTTTTTTTYAGCTATYAATGAAACARAAGAATATGTTACTTGGTTTTGAGGCTAACACAGAGCAAACCAGAACTCGAAATTGGAGTATTGTCTAATCTACGAGATGCTTTATATTCGGAACAAACACTGGAAAAAATCGCGCGCTTTAAAGGTTGTAAATTTGATGTAAATATGAAGTGTCCAAAATTCTGTAAATTTGATGTAAATGATTTCCATTAAAYTTAAAGAATKTTGGACATTTACATCATATTTACATCAAATTTAMAACCTTTAAAGAGCGCGATTTTTTCCAGTGAAAGGACCAAGGTTGAACGTACAATCAGATTSGATTGCGATAACGATCACCGATAACCTCAAAGGTAAGARAAAGKAAGGTAGTAAATTCTGTAATCATATATATACTTCTTCAGTCGACAGCACTATCGACAATTCGTACCATTTCTTTTTATAGACTGGTGCAAATTGATCATGTARACCAGAATTGATTGAATCAAGATCAGAATTGAGCATGGCAATTTGTTGCAATTTATTCTAAGCTATCAAGCTCTGAATAGAGAATGTGTTAATACTTACTATGGCTCTTTTGTGTCTGATCTCTTTTTTTTGTTCCCTGAGTGGACACGGTCAATCCCAAAATGCAAAGGGAGCATAACATTTGCGAAGTGGTGTATTTGCGTAACCGTCGATAAATATTAAATTTGTTCTAATCACAATTGAAAGTTTTTTTCAACTTCTTATATTGCGACATCAAAGTATAGTTATTTGTTTCGCTCTAATCAGACAATAAGCGCGCAAAAGCGTAACAATTGTCTATTTTTGGCTAAATTTGACGATAATTGTCTATTACAGTCAAAAGACTTGAAGCGYGCTCTTCCAAAACACCATTATTCAATTTCAACATTACATTATTGAAATCAAATTTTCAAACTTCGAAATTTGATTGGATTATTGATCGGATGTTTATAAAGCTTTCTTTGTATTTCSCTTGCAAAAATGCTGGCCTTTTGCAATTTCCACAACTCGATGCACTTTAATGTTGTCTGTTRCTTTGGTTGGATCTCTTTCCTTCTCGTGAGAAAGGAATGACGATCCCAAAAGACTGGACAAGCCGTGTTATTTTCTTAACGGAGCTCGTTGATACTCGTGAATCACTTGCTACTTCGTTTTTAGAGTAACCCTGGTTATATTGCGCTATCATTTCCTCTCTAAGGGCATTCGACATGATAAAACAACCGTATGTATTTAGATTCGCCATATTGTGTGTTGCCCATTATCGGCAAGTTTTGTCGAGCGGGTTTTCTGTGTAGTCTATGTAGTCTGTGTAGTCTATCAGAGTTCGAGATTTGAATTTAATTTTGCACAAATGAACTGAAGTTTTTTGAAAACGAAAAATAAAATGAAAAGTCTTAGGCGGCGCGCTTCAATATGTCTTTTGTCTGTAACAACCAGACTCGTTGACACTCGTATACTCGTTGACACTTGTCATGTAATTCACTAGATTTCGAACAGCATCTACGATGAATAAACAGCTTGAAAMGAGTGGTTGACTCTAACTTTACTAAACAACACATTATTTGTGAAAAATAAAACAGATCTTTTAAATTTTTACACATGGAAAAGATATCACTCAAAACAATAGTTAGAAGAAATTATATGATGCATAGTAATTCCTATAATTTTAATAATATGCTATTTCATAGCAATATATTGGATTATTATAATGTTATCGTATTTTCAGGACAAGTGGACTGTAAATCTATGCCTGATGGCTATTATCCACATCCCACCGCCTGCAACAAATTCATCATTTGTGTATCAAAGGTGGCTTACATTAAGACATGCCCACCTGGCCTGAACTACAACAAGGGAAAAAAGTACTGTGACTGGCCACAAAACGTGCAATGCTAAACTTTAGTCATGGAATGCACAGTCAAAGCAAATAAAAATTCAAATTRATAACCACCATATACTTATTTAATAGAAAGTAATAGTGGGAATAAATATGTTTTAATAAATGCACCTAATGAAAAGAAAATCGGGTTTAACAGGAATAAAGCCGATGACCTCTGTRATATAAGTGCAGTGCTCTACTAACTAACTGCTGTGAAGCCAAATATGTTGGGTAAACGCATCGAACGATTTAAATAACGCGTTTTTATAACTATGATATATGAGAAAAATAGTATGTTAATGAACATCGGATAAGGATATGGACACTTCAAAATGAAAACGTTTATACAAATCATAGAGCAGTGTCTTTGTTCTGAACTGTTTTTTTTTCTAATATCAGTCTTTTAAATGATATATGAGCTCAGGGCTCAGTCCTCAAAGAAGCGAGCTCAGGTTTCAAAGCAGCAGGTTCAGAAGAGAGGGCTTATGGCTTAATGCCTCTGAATGTAGAAGATGCAGGAAGCGATCTCTTCTAGTTCTCTTTGCAGTAGGCGGACCCACGCGAATGTAGTAGACCGGAAATAATTTCCAGTATTGATTGACATGTAGCTATTGATTGAAACTAGAGACGATTTTAGTTGCAAAGCACCAAATAAATCTCTTTACGGAACCTTTACGCATTTTTACGTAATGCGTAAAGAATAAGAGATCCGCAAAGGTTGCGTAAAGATCCAGCTCGATATTTACGCAACATTTACAAATCTTTCCGAGATGCGTAAACAACGAGAGACCCGTATAGAATGCGTGAATATGCGTTAAGATCCGCAAAGATCCAGATTCATTTACGCAACATTAATGAATCTTTCGTAAATGCGAAAATAATGGGAGATCCGTTAAGTACTATTCTTAAACATCCGTAAAGATCTTGGTCACGTCCGCTCATTATTGACACTACATCGCGTTATAAAACATTTTGTACATTCATTCAGTAGACATTAACCCAAACTGAAATATACAATAATAAAAAAAACTATTTACAATTCAAAAGTTACACCCAGTAGAGGTGTAACCCGACATTCTAAATATACTACTAATAAAACTATTTACAATTCAAAAGTTACACGCAGAATAACTGAAATCATATATACTGAGATTTATGTTATTGTACTTAAGGGTGTACTGACATATCCGTTGCTAGGGAAATTAAGTAGTTCTCTAAAATGACAAACAAAAGTAAAATCGCTTTCGTATTGAGTGTTTTTAAAAGCCTTCCCAAACAAAAATAACACATTCTATGACGTCACTGTATGACGTCATCGCGTGACGTCATTAATACGAAAAAAAATGCTATAATTTCATCAAGCAAAGTATATTAAACGATTTAAAATGGATGAAATTCATCTTTAGATTTAAGTCCGTAAAGACAAGCATGCGTTTTTAGAATGATTTCCAAATAAGCTCTTTGCGATTTTTTAAATGCGACAAATAATCGAAAAATGCCAATAACTTTCGTATTTTTTTTCCGCCAAACGCATGCTTGGTTCTGAAGAGGAGGCTGTGAAGAACATAAATATTGAAGAAACACGTCCATTTGATGTTTCGCACCGAAGATTATATTTTTTAAATGATACCATACCATTTATGTAAACAAAAACCTTTCCACCGGAAGTAAAAATTTTCCCGCCATGAAAACGCGCGCGCGCCCGCTTCTCCGATTGGCTAGCATCGGCTAGCATAGCAACCATGTCGTYTAGAAACGGATACGTCAGTACACCCTTAATATACATATTCTAATTAAAGTATTAAGTGATACTGTAACTGATCGACAAATAACTATTTTSCTTTTTGCTWACAAGTATATAAAATTGTTKTTGTGAAGAACTACTGTAAACCAGTATCTRCATAGAACAGTGTGTTCTGAATGAAGTATATACATCTACAGAAGTACATAACCAGAAGTGTCCATCTCCCCAATAATATCGCCACCATCAGATGTCCCGTTAATCTATTTTTAGACAACCAATCACAACGCGCGCATATATTACACGGCACCGGATTGGTCCTTGTTGATCTACTTCAAGAGCGTACAAGAAAAAGGAAAATGTAGTCGATGGAGGCGAACGAAGTGAAGTTCGCATTTACGAGAATTTTACACCTTTTGCTGAACACTACCATTTTTGAATTTGATAGAAAACATACTTTACTATATGAGTAATGTAGCGAAGAAGGAGATTCAAGAGCAATATGGTCTGCGAAAACAAGGGAAAAGTTCAGACAAAAATGAGACATTGTGCTGGTTGCAATGTGATAATTCTACTKAGGAAATATACACTGACACCCATTTCATTATCTTGTTGTTTTATATACACCTTATTCCAAAATGGCTGACGGCCGAGAGGGAATGGTGACGGCAACATGAAAACGAGGCATCCAGGGCCTCGAATCAAACCAAAATGGCGTCTCGTAGGAGTAAAACTATACAACTTTTCGGTCCGTGCTTTTTATGCGAAGATGATGTTCCAGGGAGCAGTTTAAATGGAAAACCTCCTGACAGTTTCAAGAAAACTGATCTTCAATTTTGGCTGAGGTGTCGGGGTGATAATTCTTTGAAAAACTCAGCTACAAAAGCTGAACTTTGTAAACGGTAAGAACTACAATACCGCAGGGAATGTGTTTGAAATTAGCATAAATTCACATATAAATTCTCATCGTTTCTTTGCTTTATAGTGTAGAGGAATACATTCGAGCTGGCCTTTCACATTTCATCGTTGATCCCGATGAAAATTTACTTTATACAGAGCGAAAACACCGTCGTATCGGAAGACAACAAACCGAAGTCGAGAACACCGAAAAGGACGCCGACGGCATCGAAACCGCTTTGTTACATCGAATTAAGTTTCCCGAGAGTGAATGGAGGACTTCACTCGAAAAAAGTCCAACATTTACAAGTGTAGAAGTGAACGAACATATTTCCAGATCTGCTAAGAGACATCCAGAGAGTACCCCAACACTTCCAACTGGTTTACAAAAAGCAAAGGCTTTTTTAGCAGATGAATACTTGCATGATATTCAAACAAACTGTGATCAGCGTTACTTCTATTATNTTTGGCCACACCTAATTTTTGTAGATTGGGAGAGTAAAAGGGAAATTGGCCCTTAGTGGGTCGGTCTCCTGGTATTATGGAGAATAGTACAAAGCAGACCAGTGCGAGGATGGGCATGTCTTTGAAGACCTGCCCATATCTCATTATATATTCATGTGTATTGTAGGTAGTGATAATATTGTACTATTTTCACTACCGGAAATAAAGCATGAAATTAGCATAACAATAGATATCCCATAATGCCTTGCTGTGCATAAATAAGCGTGATCTGCACGTTTTGTCCATTCCGATTCAAACCACGGACACATACTGGTTTAATTCGCCCACCCACCCTACCCCCGACATGGCGTGTGGAACCTACAMMACCCATGKATATACCGCTGTCCACTTTCGTGGCCAGCAGTCTTTTCAGACCTGCCYATATCTCATTATATATTCATGTGTATTGTAGGTAGTGATAATATTGTACTATTTATTCAAACTATTAAGTATTAGTCAACTTCATTTTGGAACGTAAAAGAATCTTTCCTCCTTAAAACAGTACGCGTTATCACTCAAATAATCATATTTCCATTCCCAACAAACACTGCCAGCTACATTTGAGCTTTCGAAAGGGCTGCAAAATCGTCTTAAAATGGTAACTAGCAAGCTTGAAACTTCACAAATACAAAATCCTATTCCAATTCTTCAGTGAGAACGAAGCTTTTGTTATTTCTTTCAAGCAGTTGTTGATAGTTTTTGAGTACTTTTTTCTCTGTTATCGGCGAAGTATCCGTCATCTTGGATTCTTGAAAAAAGTTTTCAGTTACAAAGAAAGCTTGATTCTTATTGGCTGAAATCAGTCATTTCTTTTGTTTCGTAGCCAATCAAAAGCGCAAATTGTTTGTAATTGCACTGATATTACAGCTTTTTGCACTGCTCAGTATGTTGTAATTGCACTGCAGAAATGTAATTACACTGAATTAAGAATTAATTGAGATGTTATCAGCCAATCAGAATTGAGTAATTTTTTCATGTATATTATTACAATCGAAACACCTTAAGGGAATTGCAGCCCTAAAACTGCATTAGATTGGTGTTCAAGTTCATTAGCTTTGCTTTGTCGTATTTTTTGCAACTTTACAGTATGTAAATTTTGTATTTATTTGCYCTGTACRGCTAGTTTTGCATCCTTGTCCCCGCAGACATTTCATTTTACCCCATCATAGTAGTTTATCGGTAATGATAAGTAAGAGTTAGTTACCGAGAACGGAGGCATTACGCTATATACAGCCCGAAGGCCGCAGGCTTCCGACGTGCGAGGTAACTAACAAACTTAGTTTTCAATTCACGTGGTTTTCGCAAAAACTGAATAGACTTAATGAATGTTTTCTTAGTTGGGTTTCGAACAATAGAATCCTCTTCTCTTGAGACTTTTTCATGGACTGTTGAAATTAGTTTCCTTTAAGAAAACCTGTTCATGCGAAAGCGAGCAATCGAAATTTGAATATTGTTATCAAATATTCTTAGCAGTCATTCTGGAAACGATGTCGAACAGTGACGATTTGTTTATAGCTCAAAATACGTTTGACATCATTCCTTTGACGAACTTTGATATTGACGATTTGCTATCGGATTTGGAACTCCGCATGCTTCTTCCCGCAAATAACGATGACAAAGTCTGCAGATGGGAAAAAATGAGAAAAATTACAATAGTTTTTGATGTTGAACTCGCTCGAAAAAATACGAGGGAAGGATTCAAGAAGGAACAAACTAAAGTACCAAATGGCCGTGTGTACGTGCTTGGATAGAATGGACCAAGTCACACCGATTACTTCTGATTCATACACGTTGGTTAATTCCGAAGAATAGATTCTTTTAAAAGTAACGGCGAAGATCTTGGTTATTGTTGTCTCTATTCTCTGATGAACATATGAAGAAAAGCTGCGGGACTCGAACTTATTACACTCTAAATCTCCTCAAGTTTTGCTGGCCGCACTGGTCTTTTTTAGGGGAAAAATAGTTTAGTTTACTTAGTTTATTTGATGTTCAGCAGGGAAATGTGGGGTTGATGAATTGAATTGAATAACTCGTTATAAATTCAGCGGGCTATATNTATCTCCGTACAGTCGATTATTACTCTAGTATTTGGATATTTCTCTTGAAAATCTGCAGGCATGTACCGATCAACTAAAGTTCTAGATGGCCACAAAGGAACCATAGAGCACCTTAAAAACATAAAATTTATCCAAGAGATGACAATTCGACTTATTGTTGTTTGAGATACATTGAATAGATGGCTTAAATGATGTTCTCTAAACCCTTGCCTCAATCGACACAAAACCATAAAGTATTCGTCTTTTGTAGAGAGTTGCCTTGGCCTTCCTTGTTTTGGTGCTTCAGCATTGTATTCGCTAGCATTCTCGTTTGTAGTGTCGGGTGTTGAATGCCAGTAGATTAAATGTTCACCTTGTTCTCCTGGATCCAAAAATTCATATACACTTTGGAAGACATGAACTGTGGGAAAACCAGTGTAAAACGCTACGTCTTTGTCGGACTTTGTTAAGTTATCGGCGGTGAAGAGTTTGCTTTTTAAGTCGAGTGTTTGTTGTTCAAGCATTTCAATTTTGGCACGCAGTTCTTCCTGGACTTCAATTGCGCGGCTAAGTTCATGTAATAGGCGGTTGTTTTCTTTCTTTAGTTCTTCATAATTGTCAAATGTTTCTTGAATAGGTTCGCTATTGTTAACTGAGCAAACTTCGCTTTCTTCGATTTGTGTCGGAACTTCGTCGCGATCGGCGTAGTCTTCATTAGCGGTGGTGGCGGCATTGTTCGAAGCATTCTTCTTTGTTTTATCTTCTATTGGAATTCTCTTTCTAGGCGATTTTCGTCGAGGTGGGGAACCCTGCTTCCAGGGGAACACCGATGGAACAGCTTCTGGAAGCAAGGTTCTTTTACGGCCGCCAAAAGACAATTTGAAATCTTGGAGCTTGAAGTGTCTCGAGCAAACACGTGTGTGCGCTGTCACTTGGAAATCACGTCCTAAATCTCTTCGTATCGCAATCATCCACTGTTTAAAGAGATCCTTGTTATCAGGAAACCTATGGTATGATATTCTGACTCCATTTTCGATATAAACTTTCTTTGTGCATTGAGGAACACAGCAATTTTGAGGCATGATGAACACAGTAAACACTGGAGAGATTATAACTACGGATTTCAGAAGGCCCTGGATGCCTCGTTTTCATGTTGCCGTCACCATTCCCTCTCGGCCGTCAGCCATTTTGGAATAAGGTGTATGCCAAGTAATTCATTTTCTTATGCGATACACATGTAAATACCCAATCGAGTGGTAACATTCACACATTTTTGACAACATTTTTCCAACATCTTAAACAGATAATGATAAATGAACTACAAAGATAGAGTTCACTACACAAGAGCATGAAAAATTTCTATTTATTCAAACTATTAAGTATTTTCTAATTCATAGCGAATAACGGCTGTTTTATTCTAAGTACTAATAATAATAGCGATAATTTGCATAACAATAGATATCCCATCATGCACCATTATGCATATATAAGCTCCCACTAGGGTATTGTGTCACTCTCATCTTCGAGCTTGTTTTTTCCTGATTTCCCTCGCAACACGCCATGTCTCAGGCACAGAATGCGGTCCAGCGTCCTGTTGACGCAGGTGAAGTCGATTTTCCTTGAGAGCAAGACGCTGTGGCAGTGGCCCAGAATCAGCTACCGGCCCCGCAACAAGGGCAAGCAGCCGCCCAGGATGTGCCAGCACCCCAAAACGTTGACCCTCCACTCGAGGTATCTTCCCCGTGTGTTGGCTCCGTGTCCCTATAAGTTATTATTTATTTCTGTTCGGTTGAAGTCAAATGTATGTAAGAACTTTACGGGTTTGGACGCCGTAACCGTGACCGTTATCTGAAGTTTGCATTTTTGTATTTGCCGTTTTCCTTGCTACAACAAAGCCCGTTTTAGGTACGCCTGGTCTCTTAACTCCTCTCCGTGCATTTGTACTCATCTCTGTTCTAATCCTTTAGCATATATTTCTCTAAAACTAGCATTACAAAGTCGTCCTATTTAGAGTTTTTTTTCTGCCATTCGGTCTGGTACGCAAACACTAAGCCACTCGGCATTGCGATACTAGCTAGCTTTATAGCTGTTGCACCAAAAATAACTCTCCTAATCCTTGCCACCCGGCTTCGCAACCTGCCATTCAGCGGTTGTATAATCAGCAGTATTCAGTTTCCATTTAAATGGCTAAATATTGCCAATCGGCTTCAATCAACTCATTCCTCTGAATCTTATCGCTTATGCCTCACTGTTTTTTCGAAGACTAGACTTTGTTTTAATGTTTTTTGTTTGTTTGTTTTTTTTTTTGTTTTTTTTTTAACATGCGATTCTGACGGCCAGCACCGAACATTCGCAGTCCTCCCGACCTACCACCGTGTCTTTGAAATCTCCTTGCAAAAATATACCCGACGAACTCGGAAAAACCATATGGTCCCTAACGTATGGCTGTGATTYATATGCATCTATAAATATAAACGGCCAAAATGAACTTGAAGGCCAAAAAGGCACTACTAGTGTACCCCTCGCTTTACACGCTRTAMGATGTTGGATGGTCTGCGAAACRCAGTATATTGGGGGCACTAGCCAATTATTCTCCCCTGCCCAAGAAACTGAAAAAGCGTCCACTGCTTMCGTGTTTGGAACGCARAACTTCGAATTAAATCGCATCAAATGAGAATTCTTTTCACTAGCGAACCTATCAACTGAATGGGGGCCCCAGAYTTCGTCTAAATAACTRAAAAACTCACTAGATGTGTACCAATCGTCAAAATCGACGATCTTGCTTATGGTATCCGCGTATTCATTTAGCTCCCTTGGGATCCATACTGGAAACAAACTAATTCTATTTTCTTTACAAAAGGAAAACACTTCTGTTGCTATAATGTGGAGGTCCGATTTCGGACTGCCCACCTCTAAAATGCGGACTGCCGCTTGATTATCAGAGTGCCATTTTACTGCCTTTTCCACAAGTTGATTTCTAA